TCAAACTGTGAGGAATTTCCATTTCAATATTAACATCATGATTCAAAAGTGTTTGAGTAGATGCTATCCAAATGATAAATAAAAAAAGATAAAAATAAAAAAAACCTTGATTTTATTCTTTACATACTCTTGTTTAATTTATAACTGCTTGTAATATCTTCATATTCATTTTCTTTTCTCAAGGATCTTGTAAGAATTTTTGTATCGACTGCATTTTCCTCAACATCTATGTAATAAATCAAGAAAACATGACATATAATGTTAATAATAAATAATTTAGACTAAACTAATTATTGAATAATTCAACAATAGAAATAACTAGCAACTAATTATGCAATCTCTTATAATCAGATTTATAAAACATACCAGAAAGTATTTTTTTTTTAAATTCATTTAGATTGATCACTAGAGTTATAGATTTTATATAATAATTATTATTGATTCAAGAGAAACATATTTAGTTAAAATTAGAAAGTTAACAATTATCAACTGTAATATTCAACTGAAAAGAAATTCTTACTAATTAGTTTTTTATTTCCATTTGGATAAACAAGCCAATAAGTTTTACTTCCATTCAATACATGATAAATATTGATAGTATCCCATTTTAAATTTAATGTAGCAGATTTCAAGGCTACTACTGAACATGGACCAGTATGTCGAATATCTAAATATAGAAAATATTTTTACTTAGAAAGATAATTTTCAATTTTGATTTACTTGTATTATATTCAATAAAAGATGAATCTATAACTTGCCATCCAGAATTAGATTCTGGTAAATCATCTCGACGAATCCAACATTCATTCCATACATGCCAAGGACTATCATAAGAATCAATGAAAAATAAAATATAATTTAAAATTGATATTACTTACCGTGTTAGTTTTGAGTTAACTACAATAGTTGGTCGTTGTCTTGTATTCCAATTGACATCAATATTTTCTTTTTCTTGATTTTGACTAATTGCATTATAAACAGTAACAATACGACATGGAATACCTAATGATCGACATAAACTACAAAAGACAACAGCATGTTGCCAATTACAACCACTATCACCTTGAAATATTTGATTATTTAATCGTAAACATTGTTGTAAAATAGCTGGACTACTTGTATATCCATTATTTTGATATGAAATTAGATGATTATTCAATAATGATGGAAATATACCATTATGTTTTTCAAGATCTGAACATATTTTTGATGAAAGAATTCGAAGAATTAAACATGTATCAATATGATTTTGTGTTGATAAATGTGTTTTATTAAGAAGAGTAAGAGCTGTAAGTAATACAACTCTTTCAAATTGTCCAAAATACCATGGAATAGATCGAGGAATGTCAGATGAACCAAGATAAATTTGTCCATGTTCATTCATAACATATTCTGCAATTTCATCAGATGATAATAATGCACATGAATCATTTTTATTCCATGGATTAAATAGAAAATAAATATCAGTATCAAAATGAAATATTGAAAGATCTTGTTGATTTATTAAATCTTTTGTAATTGAACAAATTTCTAATAAAAGCTATTAATACAGAAAGAAATAAATGTTTGTAAGAATATTTCTATTTATATATATATATATATATATATATGTACTTACAGAATATTTTCCAATAATAGTATTAGAAGGAGAATTGATTTGTAAACAAATACAATTATCCTTCTGATTTTCTATGAAGAGTCGTTTTGCTGACCATCCATTTGATGAAGTATTCAATGGAATTTTGATATTTGGAATATTGATCCATGTTTGAGATTTGAAAATAACTGATAAATGATATTTATCCATATGAAAATCTTGATTAAATATTATTTTAAATGAAAATGGTTGACCTCGTCGAAGTATAAGACCTTGAATGTCATAATAACATGTC